CCTCACTTTGCATTTTGTAAATTGATATACAATTACAATATATATTTTTGAAAGCATTCTTACTTTATAGCATTTTTTAACACCTGCCTAAAGCTTTTGCACAGTACTATAAATACATATGTATACACCCCACACACATTCTTCAGAGGTTCCTGTTATTGTGTTATCTTCTCTTCATGCTTAATCCTTTTCTCTCGGTAAATATAAGGAGGGACATTGAATGTATGCTTCCTTCAGTGAAGGTCAAGAAACCTCTCAATGACCTCTAGATGAGGTGCAATTCCCAACCAGGATAGGCAGTGGTAACGGGGAACTGTATCCTCAATACATCTGGAGGGCATGAGATTGGACAAGACAGAAAAAGCTCAGCATCATTTTGGGTTCACACAGAACTGAACAAAATTAGCCATAAAATACCCATAATGTGTTCTCTGCCTGCTAATTCAGTCCACAGAGTTACCTTAACATATTATAATGTTCTTCAGTGCAATCTTTGGCTTACAAAAAATATTTTGTAAAACATTAATGAATTCATACTCATAATGCAGTGATTCCAATATGTGTGATCTTGGTGACATAATCCTAGTCAACCAGTGTTGAAAGATTGCTCAGAACACTGAATCAAAAAATTTGGAACCTCTGAATTCCAATCAGGAGGCCACATTTTATTACAGATTTATTATGCTATGCTGCCACCTGCTGGAGAAGATGTTAAAAATGCTTTATAATCTTTTTAGTGAATCATCCCACTTACCACTCCTGTTTTTACTATTCTGGTCCCCTCAAAAATTCGAGTTGTGTTATCTGGAGGGAGGGAGAGGAAGAGAGAAGAAGAAGAAGAAGAAAAAGATTTGATTATAAAACCATAAAAGATTTGCCAAACATTTATTTAGAATCTAAGATAAAGAAATACTTTAAAAATCCCATTGAGCCTCTGTTAAATACTAGAATTACTCATACTGAAGAACAACAGTAGTACAAATACATGATTCTTAACTGATCTGTGAAGTGTTTTTTCCCCAAAAGTTTGCTTTTTCCATACTTATATTTCTAAAACTCATAAATTCACACAACTGGATTTTCATCCTCAACCAAAAAATTTTTCCTCTTAATTCTAACCTCCTATATTTCCGACAAAAGTCTTCTCTATATCCATGTTATTTCCAGAGTAGACTTTCCCAACCTCTAGATCTGTTAGGAATTTTGGAAGCTGCAGTCCCAACAGATCTAGAGGCTTGTAGGTTGGGGAAATCAGCTTTAAAATACATGGATGCCTCGCTAGTCAAATCTGAGTGCCAATTAAGTATACAAAACACGCAGTGAGACCATTTTTGATAAGCGCCATGAAAACAATTGTAATGATTTGTTACAATGCTACTTATTAAACAAAGCAGGCCATATGTCAGGATAGGAGATCCTACCCTTTGATGCTCACAATATAAATGAGTGGTTCATTACATCAAAAGGTTTCCACTGTTTCCATACAACAGTGTTGTCCAAACCTGGCCACTTTAAGATGAGTGGACTTCAACTCCCAGAATTTCCCAGGCAGCATGGGTGGGGGTGG